TTCATCTCACAGCCAACCCCAAGTTTCATAATCGGACTAAACATATGGAGGTTGACTATCATTTCATTCGGGAAAAAGTTGCCCTTGGCCTTATTGAGACTTCACATATTCCAGCTCACAGTCAACTTGCTGATATATTCACAAAGTCGCTGGCTAAGGAACCGTTCTGCAGGCTTCGCGCCAAACTCGGAGTTTGTCTTCCACCACACTCGAGTTTGAGGGGGGATGAAAGTATACAAAACAGAGTAGAAGAAATGGGCTTACAAAATAATGAAGGCCCACTACAAGAAGAGGAAGAAGTATCAAGCCCAAGTGGCCCAAGGAACAGTACCACGTGATACTTGTACGAAAAGCAGAGCACACAATTGCAGAGTTGAAGCTGTTGATACAAAAAGACAAAGTTGGAGAATGACGAACACCTACTCTACTTCAGTCCCAAGCGTGTGAAAGGACGAAGATCACACGGTGTAGAAGGATCCAGAACTAGGGTTTCAAGTATAATCCTTGTATATATAGACATGAAACACCGATTGTAAAGAACAAGTGAAAGGAATACAAAGTTCACATTTTTAAAAAAGTTTGTCTCTTTCAGTGTCTAAATTCTTTCTCTTCGTGTCTTTGGTGAGTGTGTGTGTAATGTCTGAAATGTCTAACAATCATCATCATCATCATCAGTGAATGTAATGGAGACAGAGGAGATTAATCCACCAATGCGCCGAGAACATCCACAAGAAGAGGAGCTTCAAAGATTCCGAAGAGAGTTTGAAGCTTGGCAAGCTGATAAAAGGTTTAAAGATTGTTCAAGAATCGTTGATTCAGGCTGCGTGGGGGCTCGTGAAGACAAGGAGAGGCTTTTCACAAGAACTAGAAGCTTTGGTCGAGATTTAAGTCAGACAAGAAAGCTCCTACTAAGATTGTGGTTTTAAGACCTGGTATTCAGAGAGTGTATGATTACGAAGATTCGTTAACAACTTCTTCAGGTACGACCACTGAAGGAAGCACAGGAAGCAGCATTGAAGAGTTTCTTGAGGAAGTCAAGGAGAGATTGAAAGGTGAGCTTCAAGGAAGAGCTCTCAAGAGAAGTTCATCAGTGAGAGGAAGCGGGATCGAGACTCCTTTCAGCGAAATTCTTCAGATGATTTCCGAGACTTAGGAATGTTTCGAGAAAAGAGATGAGTCCTACAGATGATTCTGCGATCAAATGTAGCCGTTTGCGACCTACTGTATCAGATGCAGAGAGCTTGCGGAAACAAACCGAGGAAATCGATGAAGAAGACTGTCCTAGGACGAACAGAGATATTCCTAAGAATGGTCCTTCATCGCCAAGAAATCTCAAAAGATCACTATCGGCTCCTGTCTCAGGGACATCATTTGGTAAGCTTCTGTTATAGGATCGGCATTTTTTGACAGGCGCACAGATCATGAGAAAGCACAAGGCTGTATTAACAGAGCGAGAAGAAACAGAAGCAGAAACAGAACCAACTGTTGTTGTGGATCCAATCAGGAGGAAAGAAAGATTTAATCTCACGAAAAAAGGTTTCCAGCTTTAGATAAACTCTTAGAGGAAGAATCTTTGGTAAGAAGATACGTTCAATGATCGAATCAAACAGTTTTGAGGTCGTAGAAGTTTGATGACCTAATGGCTGCAGCCAATGAAGAAAAAGAAGCTGCAAAAGCTCAGGTGTAGAGCTGAACATAGAAGTTTCATGATCTGACTTCTTTCATCTTGATCTTTATATATTCTGACAAGCACTTGATTTGTTTTATTTCATTAATTTTTGGCTGAATTTGAGATATTATCTTAGATGTTTTGATTTATATATTATGAGTTTTTCACAAAATAAGAAGAAAACAAAAAAAGAAATCAGCATCTTTTTTTCATTTTTTGTTACATTCCATTTAATTCACCTTTTTTATTCAAATGCAAAGATGGACAACTAAATACAATTATGGATAACTAAGTATAATTATGGTACAATTAAAGACAACCAAGTACAACTAATAATAAGTACAATTTGGTACAAGTAATATAACTATATAATTTAAAATTATAATTAAAATTAATTAAAAAATAATTACAAAAATACGTGCGCCGACAAAAAAGAACATGTGCGCAGTTAAATAACATGTGCGTCGTCAATTTTGTATCCATATTGTCCAGTTATCCAAAATTCTTCATAGTTGTCATTTGGCGATTTTAGCATTTTTCTAGTTGTCCCTTAATATAAATTATTATTTTGTAGTTGTCCACATGATTTTCGACTATTGCAGTTCATTTATGCAAAATCATATATTTGCATCTTTTCCATCAAAAAATTGTTAACATTATGAAAGTATTTCTTGTATCATAAGGGGTGTTTGATGTGAAACCAATAATATGTCTTAGGAAAATGATAATTTTATTTTATCCATGTTATTAATATTGTTCCTTATAGTTTAATACATGTTTGCATCTCTTAAGTATATATTTTCTTTATATGTTTAATTAAATTAATTATTATTCTTTTTTTTTTAAATTAAGGAGTTGCATAAAGTTGTCCTTACTTGTCCAGTTGTCCTTTGCTTATTCACATCCACGAAGCTAGATAACACGTGCCCAGACAAAAATAGACATGTGCAGCAGTCAAAGTATCACGTGCGCCATCAATTTTGTACATAGTTGTACCCAATTGTCCAGTTGTCCAAAATTCTTCATAGTTGTCCTTTGACGATTTTAGCATTTTTTCAGTTGTACCTTAATATAAATTATTATTTGTAGTTGTCCACATGATTTTCGAGTATTGCAGTTCATTTACAAGGTTTTCATAACACAAGTTATGAAAAATCATATATTTACATCTTTTCCATCAAAAGATTGTTAACATTATGAAAGTATTTCTTGTATCATAAGGAGTGTTTGATGTGAAACCAATAATATGTCTTAGAAAAATGATAATTTCATATTATCCATCTTTTTAATTTTATTCCTTATAGTTTAAGACATGTTTCATTTCTTAAGTGATTGCTTTCTTTTTATATTTAGTGTAATTTATTATTATATTTGTAATGAAAGATTTGTATATAGTTGTACATACGTGTCCAGTTGTCTTTTTGCGATTTTAGCATTTGCATTGATTTTTGATTATTAATTATTATTATGTAAAATCAAATATTTTACCTCTTTTGTTTCATAAGGTGATTAACAATATAACATAGATGAAATAAGATATCTTATATTTGGAAATATAACATAAATATTTCCAAATATGAGGTATTAAATGATATAACATAGAGAAAATATTTTGAAATCCATTGAAATGTTTGTGTGGCTGATGTTCATTATCTGCTGAAAATAGAATAAAAGAATTCTCGATTAGCAATTATTCAAGATGGCTTAGTTATACCTATTTGTACCAGTTGTCCTCTATCCCGTTGTTGTGCCATTTGTACTGGTTGTCCTCTATCTCTTAGTTGTACCATTTGTGCCAGTTATCATCCTCTGCAGATTTGGTGATGAACTCTGGTTCTAATTCAATATACCTAAGAATCACTACGATTCAACAATTATATTCGACAGATTACCTATGCAGAAACCTGATCGTCACATAAAAGTGGGTTACCAATCCAATTTTCAATTAGAACAAAAGAACTCTCAATTATCAATCATTCAAGTTGTCTTAGTTGTACCTATTTTGTACTACTTGTCCTCTATCTCATAGTTGTACCATTTGTACTAGTTGTCATATATCTCTTAGTTGTACCATTTGTACCAGTTGTCCTCATCTGCAGATTTGGTGATAAACTCGGGTTCTAATTCAATCTACCTAAGAATCACTACAATTCAACAACTATATTCGACAAATTACCTATGTAAAGACCTAATTGTCACATAAAACAAGATTATCCACCCGATTTGAAATTAGAATAAAAGAATTCTCAATTAGCAATTATCAAATTGTCTTAGTTATACCTATTTGTACCAATTGTCCTTTATCTCATAGTTGTACCATTTGTACTAGTTGTCCTCTATCTCTTAGTTATACCATTTGTATCATTTGTACCAGTTGTCCCCTCTGCGGATTTGGTGATGAACTCAGGTTATAATTCTAATCTATCCAAGAATCACTATGATTCAACAATTATATTCGACAAATTTATCCATACAAAGATCTAATCGTCACATAAAATTAGGTTACCAACCCGATTTGCATATCGAACAAGCAATTTTAGCAAATCTAATTTTTAAATTGTGAAATCCCCAAATCTCCAAATAAAAACCTACTGTATTATGAAACTTCAACAATGGTGGAAAGAGGAGATAAAAACAGAAATTAACTACAGAGGAGGAAGATGAGGAGGAGAAGGAGGAAGAGGAGGAGATGAGGGTTCAATGACAAAGAAGGGATTTTGGTGATTTTTATTTTTTGGATTCGTTGATGTCTCAACAATGAAGAAGAGGGAAAAAAGAAAGAAATTAAAAATTGATATTTTTTTAAAGACAAAAATTAAAATAATCAAATTCCACCAAAATCAAAATGCCATAAAAGCAATTCATTAAGAGTATTTTTGGAATTCTATAAGTATTATGGCATCTAGACTCCATTGTGGCACGTTAGATTTTTCTTTTTCAAATTGTGGCATTTTAGCCATTGATTCTTGGTTTGGTAGCAACACAACAAGAGTTATTTAGGTGATTGAAAACTAATTTTTTTCATAGGTAGTAAGTACCCAATACCCCCTCATCTTCATTGCATTATAACACGCTTTATGTATTATAACGTATGTGTCTTTACATTTTTCATTTTATCTGACATCTTTCTTTTTCATCCAACTTTACATTTAATTCAAATTTCTCTTTCCACGCCTTTATAGGGAAACTTAGGTCCTTGAAATTCATTTTGAATTTCAAAACACCCACACCCCAGTAATATCGTTTTCATCTTCAATTTCTGACCACTCTCTCTCTCGACGAATGGCGATTGAGACTAGTTAGCGACGTCGTCTTTTTTTTGATATCGACCATGGTCGGCGAGTCTTTTACATCACCTTCTTCTCATTCGGCGGCGGATTCTGAAAGGTATATGCTTTTATCTTGTCTCGTCTGCCACTCCTTGGGGTGTCGTCGATTTAGGATCCATATTCGCTACAATGAATGACATGAACTCTGTTATCACTCGCACTAACACGCTTATTGTATATTTAAGTTTTAGATCTGAAATTTTCAGTTCTTTCCTAGCTCTTTTTAGTCCATAGAAATCGTGTTCGCGTCATTCTAAAGGATTTTCAGCTCCATTGTTTCCAGCTTCATTGTCTTCTTGACCCACTTGTAGTTTAGGTGATTGTCCAGATATATTTCCCGTAGATCTCTATTTCAATTATACAGCACACATAGTAGACAACTACCGTGTATGTATATTAATCGACTACTAACTTTCAGTAGTCAACTTCAGTTCTGAAGGGGGTAGTTAACTAATGCACACTAAATACTTTACTTTCATGATAGGTGGCTTCTTTTACTTGGTAGTTAACTTTTTTTTTATCTCTGCTGTGTTTCGTAGGAATATCTCGAGCCTAGCAAACCCCGATGTCAATCCTTTGGCAAATAATGTGCTTCCGCATATTCGTGATGCAGTCGTTGGCATATTCGAAAGAGTTGGTACGATATCTGCGAAAGACGCTTGTTCGTTTGCGTCATCATGTAATTTCCTGAACCAAACATTCAAGGAACCATCTGTGATGAGGGTTATTAACCTATCAGCTTTCGTCAAGAGGCCGATTGTAATTCAGAGCTACCCTACCTTTTTTGAGTCAGCGATCAACTCAGGTAATCCAACTGCACTCTATCTTCGTGGCATGAGCAGAATAACGGCTGCTAATGATATCGAAGGTTCTCTGAGGTTTTTGAACCAAGCATTACAGTTGAAGCGGCGACTGTAATGCTGGCAATCTGTGTTACCGCTGTTGGGCACTACCCAATAGGGTTGGATATGTTAGACCGTGTATAGTGGCGGACCTACGTTATGGGTTGGGATTTCAAGTGACACCCCTTAAATTATATATACCTTGTTATTTTACTTAAAATTAATAGAGATATTTTGAATAATTTGGTTGTGTTCACTTGTTTTGACACCCTATAATATTAAGCTTGAACCAGGTAAAAATTAATCCTGGGTCTGCCACTGACCGTGTATTTGGTTGGAGAGCAACAATCGAGCATATGATCTTCATTGGGGAGCAAGTAATGGATTTAATCAAGAAAATGGTGGTGCCTGATGGTCATACATCTTTACCCCATATTGCTGTTGATTTCCCCAGCTGCCGTTTGAAGCATCAGCCAATGTACTGTGAGCACTGCTACCTCTACATTCACTACCACCATGCAAAATTCTCTTTAGACCCCTAATTTGTTGAGTTATTCAGTACCTTGTAACAACCCATTGTATGTTTGATGGTTGAGCATATTCGTTGTATTCGACTATTATTAGTTTCCTACTGTAGTTGACTATTATTAGTTGTCTATTATTAGTTTCTAATGTAGTTGACTATTATCAGTTTCTACGTGCTTATAATTACTGAATTAATGTAAGACTAAATGTTGTAGTGCGATTAATTTTGGGAACCTTTAATCTTAGCAGGAAATAATTTTGGGAACCATTAAGCATAGCAGAAAATATTTTTAATTGTGGTTAACAACTGCTGTATTCACTGATAACCGTTTTTTTTTAAAATGCAAAAAAACCGCAATTAAAACTTCCTTTACTGCCCTTCATAAGTTCACGTCTGCCATTTCTCATTTTCTTCTCTCACACCATGAACTTATTTGCAACTGTCATTTCTCTCTTTATCTTCCCTCTTCTCTTTCATCTTCCCCTACGCCTTCCCCTTTAACCTTAAAAGACACCCAGTCACCGACCGTTTTTTTATCTTGCGTCAGAACCGCCTCCGCCGCACCGATAACGATGACCCAGTCGCCGTTTCTGTTGCGACGACCCCAACAATTTTCAGGTAAGTTTCTTTTCACCGTTTATTGTAGTTCCCCATTCTCTAGATCCCGATTCGCCGCCGCCATCGTACGCAGCAGCTGTTCTTGAAATACTGAATTCCCATTTATATTTCAGTGGCTATTAGTATATAATTACCCAATAGTCGTATATTTTCGCTCTGTAAATATAGTTTATTGCGTAATTTGATGTCGTCTCTTCCCCAATTACAGATATAGTTTTTTGTGTTTTGGTTTTCAACTATTTCTAACTTCTCTAGGGATTTCGGGGTGACCCCCGGATTTCTTTTGGTATGATATTATAAAAATTTGTCTACAATTAAACAACTACTTTATCACAAGCGAGTCTATGTCGATTTCGATTGTATACTCGATGGTACTTGGCGTCTACATGCATATGTTATTTGATTACTAGTAGTCAGTTAGTTAACTTTTTTGCTATTAGCTTCAACCGGTAGTTAGTGACTTATAGTCATTTATTTGTTTTTCAGAAGACAAGCTATGATCCGGTTTCCGGACCGACTGTTTGCCTTAGGCAACGAACCGGCGAATAAGAAGGTGAATACCTACTTCCAGCTACCTTATCTCGACACAATAAGTCATGCTTTGGAAGAAGACCATATGGAGAAGCTGTCCCTGTCCCAATTTGGAAAACTTATTGAAGCAGGCAACAAGATATCATCATCAGTCAGATTTCTTCATTTCATTTTGTCGAGGCAGCTGGTTACAAAGAAAAAAGAGCTTTGGTGCCTCTTTGCTGGCCAGCGAATTCACTTTTCTATAAGAGAGTTTGCTATTACGACGGGGTTAGATTGCTCCAATTTACCACCGCCGAAAAAGTTGAAGGAAGACAAGGTCAATGAGTATACCATTGAATTGTTTGGTGCTGAGAGGAATGCAACCCCTGGATGGATAGAGACTACCCTTGCCGGCCGACCGTACAAAGATAAAGCTACCAGATTCAAGTTGGCATGTTTACTCCTCATTGACGGTATTGTCTGTCCTACTTCAAAAAATGCCAAAATTAGTGCCGAGCACATCATGCTGGTACAAGATGTTGACAAATTCCTGGAATATCCATGGGGTCGGAAATCCTTTGATCTGACTATTCACAGCATCAAAATTAGGATAGCTACGAAATTGTACCTTTGTCAGCCAACATGTGCTTTTCAGGGTTTTCTACATGGATTACAGATGGTCGTTTTGGAGTGTGCTCCTTCTATTCTGAAGAAGAATGTAAAAGGTAAATCAACCAAGCATACCCTGAGGGATGACGATGATGAAGAAGAATTCCCAAGTATACGGACTGGTTCTATGAAACCAATTAATATCTCGATGCCTCATGTGAAGTCTCTCGACAATAATCAAAAGGTATGTTATACATTTTTTAATCCTGGTAGTTGGTTATTAATAGTCAATAGTAATTACAATATTATGTCTTATACTTATACAGTGTTTCGGATAAGGACCATAAAAGTCTACAACTATTATGTTCTTTATAGTTAACTATTGATAATCAAATAGTTCGATGTAACTCTACTATTGATAATCAAATAGTTTAATACATGATAGTTGACTACTATTACGCGATATTCAGTACAATGTTATGTCATATATTTATACTGTGTTTCAGATATAGAACCACTAAAGTGTCCAAACAGTTATGTTTGCTGTAGTTAGCTACTGATAATCATTTACCTGGTAGATATCTACTCATGAAAATTCCACATCACAGGTGGCTGTCACAGCAATTTTACCGAACGATGAACATCTTTTGGATGATACCGATCTGGAGTTTGATGATGATGTCTCAGACGAAACCGTAGCAAACTTACTGGCAGCAATCAATGAAGGCCATAAATTTTCTAGGAAGACATGGAATGGCGGTGAAAAAGCAAGTCTTCATCAAAACCAGCCAAAGGCACCAGCGTCATCGTCTCGGAACACATCGTCTGATGTGGATTTAGATCCTGCTGCTTCTTCCATTCTTGAAAAGGTGGAACGTGATAATGCGTTGGTATTATTAGAGATAAAAAGTCTTCGTGCAGAGTTCGTTGACCTTCGTTCCGAAGTATCTTCCACTTTGTCCACATTTAAGGAATATATTCGGAGCCTACAAGGGCCTTTGTCCGAAGTTGGAGCACCTTCTAAGCGATAGCCTGGCCGTAGGGTCAAGTCAATTCCACAAAGACCCAAACACGTTAGATTTCAGCAGGTTTCTTCCTCGGAGGAGTCCAAGTCCTCAGATTCATCGAAAGATGATGACGGCGATGACGGTACCAAGAGCAAGGATCCAAGCAGTCCTTCTACCGAAAGTGACGACGGTGAGGATAGCAATGTCGGTGATGTTGTTGAAATTGATGATGGTGATGACCATGAAGATAGAAGGGAAGCTGATGCTGAGGGATCTGGAGATGCTGGCGATGTGGGTAGCCAAATGCCAGTCGACGTTGATGATGTCCAAGACGATGCTACACTCGCGAGCAACCAGATTGCGAGTGTGCTGTCTGATTTATCAGAAAAAGTACAGGTACATAGTCAACTATTAATATGCATATACTTGTAAATCAATTACTTACACACTGTCTCTTTAATGTAGGTTAATGTAGAGGCTTCAAGAACCCAGCCTGTGTCATCACCACTACCACATGTGAGTAGACAACTATTAATAGATACATAACAGAAAGAAATTATTTTTCTTCCGATTTTATTTATTTATTGTAGGTCAATCTAGAGCTTTCGGAAATTATACCAATGGTCTCCGAGAATGAGTCCGGCAGTGTTAGCACACGTCAAATGGAAAACGATGGGGTTACACACGTCAACACACGTGACCATCATACGAGCAGGTTTATACAACCCTCTTCGGAAAGTAGTTGAATACAACTCTCAAATAGTTAATCATGCCAGCTTGTTCTTAGTGGTCGGCTATCTGTTATAATAATCTCAGGGTGTATAGGCGAATGACCAAACCGGTGCCGAGAAAGATGTCCCACCTGTTGTAACCAACAACCAAACCGGTGCTGTTCAAGATGTCCCACCTGTTGACACCAACGACCAAACCGGTGCCGAGCAAAATGTCCCACCTGTTGAGACTAACGACCAAACAGGCGCCGAGAAAGAAGTACCACCAGAATCCCAGGTTCGTTAAGTTTAGTACTATCATCAATGAGTAGATGTACGAAATATAGCCCATTATCTAAGTATTCAACTATGTGTCATTTTGACAACACACTTATGTATACTAGGTCATGCTGTAGACCCAACACACTATTCCTGAATCTGCGAACTCAGCCAGCCCACATATGGAAACGGTTTGTAATCTATCATTTGTTTTTCGTTAGAATTAGTTAGGACCTATCACTTCAAGTACTCAGCTACTAATATATGACTATATTTTGTCATGATTGTTGTACGTTTTACCGTAGGAAACTCCGGCAGAGCACTTCGATTCTGTGCAAGGAGACCCAAATTTTGGCACGGTCGACGATGTCGTCGAACCTTAAAAAAAGGTGTAACTTCGTAATCGTTTATATATCAAATGTAGTTATCATCGGTTATTTTTACGTGCATAAGCAACTATTTATGTGCCTTTAAGGTATTGGGGGAGGATGTCACAAATGCCCAGAAAGAGATCGATATTCCAGCAGGCGTTGATCCTCCTGTTTGGTCACTGGGTCTTACACAGGAAGAAAAAAATATGGCCCAAACATCTCAGAAAGGAGCAGAAGAACAGGGAGCTATTCGCAAGAGTAAACGACTACCCGTCCCTTCATCACAGATGACCGACTTTATAGTCCCACGACCTAAACATGCTAACAAGACTGAGAAATCGGTTGACCTGTTGCATTTGTTTTCAACACCGAACTTTGAACAAGTCATCCTCCTCCAGAATAGAATGAAAGACACTCGGTGAATAAACACTTATTTTATTATTGTTTTGTATTTGACGGTAGTTAACACTGGGTCCTTTGATGTGATTGTTATCTGTAGGAATTTTCCTAGTTGGGATGGGATTGTCCTCTTTGTCAACATTTTGAAAGAAATTGTTGACCTGAAATTCCCAATTTCCGTTATGGTAATTAATTTACACAGTTACTTATTATCAATAGCTGACTATGTTCATTGTGTCTACTCTGTAGTTGAATACTTCATCTTCTATCTGTTATATTAGTCTATCGACAGCATTATTAGGTTATTCCGTCATCAATTGGCGGAATTGAACGACGTTCGGTGCACTTATGACTTTGTTGAGTACACGTTCCTTCACGGCATCGTTGAAATCCTTCCGCAATTCACAAATCCCCCAAAAAGGAAACTTGTCTCACTCCCTCCTGGTTCAGCTGCATACGTCAAAGCCAGGCGCTCATGGTACACTCAGGTTGCTCGGATTTATTGTCCCTATCAAGTGGATGACCAATACTGGGTGGGGCTATGCATCGATTTTGAAAGCCACAAGATTATGGTACTGAATGCGTATGCGACACTCAAAGAGATGAAACTTAAGACAAGTGTCGCACCACTTGCACAGTCTCTACCACATTTTATCAAGAGGGTAGCATACAATACAGAGATGAAAGCTGACGACATAACGGCGTTCACAATAAAAAATTTTAAACCAATGTTCCAAACATCGGCATTAGGTATTTCCTATTACTATTAGTAGACATATACGTATTAGTTGCTTACATATAGTTAACTATTTTTTCATTTCTGTACGACCAGGTTATCTGGGTGTGCTGGCACTCATGTCTATTCAGTTGCACGCTGCAAATATGCCTCTAGACTATGCTGTGGGTGATGATGTTGTTCGTGACGCTTCTCTGAAGTTTGCTTATGATCTCCTATGTTTGATCGAACCGCCTTCTCTAGCCGATGTCGTAATTCGAAAGGACCCTGCAGCTTGATGCCAACAATATTTCCTTGTTGTTTTATCAACTTATTCTCTGTCAAACATCTCATATCGCTTTAGACACTTATCATTTTATAAACTATTGTTATGTTTGTGTGCTTTATGAACTTCGACATTATTAACTACTAGTAGTCGCCTATTATTTTTAATCAGAATTAAGCATTACTAATAGATTCGCTGATAGTAATCCATCGCGAACAAATAATTCTGTACTAGAACTAGTTAACTATCACGCCCATAACAACTACCAATGTAAATCCAAATGATCCCCCAACTATTAAGTGTAAGGGAATTATATTTTCTATTGTAAATAAGAATTATAGACTACAAGTAGCTATCTAAAACGAGAATCTACTATTAAACTACAGCCCAATGCGACATTAATAATATTGTTAATTAACTACATGTAGACAACTATCAATCGTACGATGTTTTAAAAGAGATTCCAAATGCGTCATTACCATTAGTAATCACATCCAAAAGGCAAAGAACATGTTTTTAGGATGCGTAGTATCAAATTCAAAAATAACAAAATAAGTAGGAGAGAAAAGTAGCTGAGGCATTACAAAACAGTATCCAATATCCAATAACTTATTTTAGGATGCATAGTTCCGAAAGAAGCTTCAAATTAGTAGGAGATAAGAACCAACATAAAATGTAGACCCTTAACTTGCATTTGAAGTGCATCATATCCGATTCTCCTCTGCCTCATTTCAACATAACCCATGTCACTTCACTTACCTTTCATGCATCGGTAGTTTGCTTGAAGCTTTGTTGTGTCCCTTTCCAAGACACCTGCTGCAAACCCTCGCCGCCTTCCTTGAACGCCTCTATTAAGTTAGAGAACGTCAGCAGACGATTACGCCAACCATTTAGAACACAAGTGATATAGTCGACTACTCCACAGACAACTACTAACTAACAAATTATTATTACCTTCAGCTCTCCACGGGATGGGATCCTTGTTTTCCTTGGTCGCCCTGGGGTCGGCGCATTAATGGTGGTAGTAGTTCTGTCCCACCAGAACTTACAGGAGTTGGTACCGGATGGAAAGCTCCTTCATAAAGGGATCTTCGGTACCTTGTGGTGTACACCTCCCCCACAAGCTTATCTAACTCAATTTTGCTGCACGAAGAAGCTGCCATTGCATGACGGCATGGTATGAGAAGCATTTGAAATTCCCTGCAGCTGCACGACTTTAAAACAAGGTTCACTTTGAACCTTTCCCCCTGTCTATTGTAAACTTCATACTCATCCTCTCCGACCACAACCACCTATACATCAACATAGTCAGATACAAATAGTTGTCTACAATGCACAACATGGACCTATTTAATGGTAACTGATAGGCCAGTAATCGACTACTATTTACCTTTGACTCGGTGCAACCATAGAAGTTATCGTCCAACATGTCACAGACTTTAGGATTGATAGAATTTTGCTCTGCGGCGGATGCAGCTTTCCTCCTAACAAACCAGCTGATTAGACTCATCTGTATGGCCTCAAGCATTGAGATTAATGGAAATCCCCTACACTCTTTCAAGACTTTGTTGAGAGACTCAGCAACGTTTGTGGTCATTACGTTGTACCGTTCGCCGATGCAGTATGATCTCGTCCAGTGTGGTAACCCTAAATCCTGTAAGTACTTCGCACAGCCAGGACTTACGCTTTGGAGATCTGCAAATATCTGTTGAAATTCGTACACGGTATATGCTTTAACAGCTCTGACCATCAGACCAGGTAGCCGACTTTCTTTAAACCGTGCGGTGATGTTCCTTGCTAAATGAACAAGACATGCACCATGGCCGGCAGCAGGGTACACCTAGTATACCAAAAAATTGTTGGTTATTAATAGGCAACTATATGTACTTAGCTTTTTGGCATGAAATACTTAACGAATATGTAACTATCTCATACCTTTTTGAGTCCAGAGTAGATTCTCCTGTGTCTGTCTGAAACAAACATAACATCACGATCATTGGGAATGATAGTTTTCAAGCAATTGAAAAACCATTCATAAGATGCATCATTCTCGCTGTCCACAACTGCATATGTAATTGGATAGATCTGAAAGTTCCCATCTTGAGCACTAGCACATATGAGACAGCCCCCATATCTGCCAACCAGATGAGTCCCTGAAATAATAGAGAAGTATTATTATTTGATTATGTATCATGGATAGTCAATTATCAAAGTAGTCATATATAAATAGTTAGCAACTAACCATCAATAATCACCACTGGTCTTAAGTATGGGAGTCCAGCAATTGATGCATCAAACGAAATGAATAGGTACTTGAATATTTGACAACCATTTTTGTCCACTCCGAACTCAGTTTTGCAAACTGTCCCAGAGTTAGAGTTCTGTAGATTCTCCAAATAAGAAGAGAGCAATGCAAAACTTCCAGAGACCGATCCAAATGCTTTCTCCAATGCAAGTTCCCTGCATCTCCATGCCTTCCAATATGAAATGTTGACCTACATTTCGTAAGCCGAGAAAGGCCGGTACATCATTTATGTCCTCAAATAGACAACTACATGTAGTCAGCTATACTGACTAAAACGTACTACTAAAATTATCATACCTGGAACTCCTGAAGCATGATTCGCTAGATTTCGATTGGGTCGGGGCCTCTCTGTCCCGCCATAAATTGTGTCTGGATCAGCTCACCAATCACTTGTGTTGTCGCTTGTTTGTGATATTTCCGACGGTCTTCAATGGGGCATGTGTGCTTCAACTTCGCCTTCTTAATTTGGAAGTTCCCAGTGGCATCCATGAGGGAAGCGTATACCCGCCAAGGACATGTCGGATTGATGCAAAGAAACTCCATGTAGTTGGGTGTTGAACGTGGGGTCCTGAAGTGGAATTTCCTATTGATGGCGTGAATAGCCAACTTAACTTTACACTCCACTTTGTTTCTGAAAATTCTGCCAACAAAAATTCTATCGCCTTCATATCGCATGTCTCTCAAAGCACTGTCTATCCCTGAAAATTCAATTTGTTGAACTTGATCAGAAACATTGGTATACGTCTATCAAGGTAGTTACCTATATATATATAACTATCAAAGTCCACACTCCGTTGCTCTTTTCAAACCATTTTCCTTTCACGAACAACACCATTTGTCTTCCTGCCATCTACACAAACAAAGGTGAAGAGGTCATAAATATCCAACTACATATGTTAAGTAGTCATAATTTATCCTCAGAAGTAGTTATACCTTCAAAACCAAGAAGTAGACAAACCCTAGAACAATTGTTTACTAGCGACGGTTTATGGAAGTTTTCTTCTTGTCTATTTATTTGATCCCAAGGGTCCCCTCCACTAAACCTATCCGTACAGATTGACAACACGACAAATGTCATTTGAGCGGGCAAAAAGGAAACAAAAAGTTTGTGTTGCTACTGTGTCAAAACGATGGTAGCATCTGCGCTTAGCTAAGTTCGTGTGGTCCCTATCCGCCACAGAAAAAGCAATGTCTACTTTTCGGGAGCAAGGGGCATACTGTCTTTTCCACCCCTACTTTTTGGTTGACTTCTGCTATACAGTGAATTGACTGCTTTACGATGTCACGCAATTTGTCCCTCCAGATATAATATTGATGCAAATCACCCTTACCCAATCATGTATACTGTTAGTTCATCTTCCAAAAAAAAAAAAAAAAACGGGTCACAAAAAAAATAAAAAAATTGTGGAGCTGCTTATAATGTTAAATTGTTAATGTGGAGCAATGTTTTCAGACCGACCCTCCCGGTCGGACCCGGTTTAGATTTAGTGTTATATTACCCACCAGCTATAAATAAAACCGATAAAATTTAGAGTGATTTGCATGAATAATACTTCCTACAAAAACAATTAGGCAACTATCATTAATACCCAGTCAATTGAAAAAATGACAGTAATCAACTGTCTAAAGGATGGGGAAAATACGAAAAATCTACTGCTTCCTTATCGGAAACATCTTCTTTTTGCTGACACGAAAAAGACGTCTGCTTTATGAAAAGTTTAGGACGCTACCATCAACTTTAGTACTTTACCATCGTATTTCGAATGATAGCAGTCATAACTTTTTAACATTGATTGTAGTGTAAGCGCCTAGGTTATTTTTGTGAAATGTCTAGTGGACTAGGTTTAAGAGTCTCCTACCACCATCATAAAAGCTTTCACCAAACTCAGAAAGCTTTTTACATTTAAGAACTCACAAAAAAATTAAAGTTCAATTACTTCTCAAAAATTCGTTTTGACTTATTTTTCGTCTGTAGTCACATTATAAACATCTGACTAACTCTACAAATTTTGAAACAGATGGTTGGAAACCAAATCGTTTTGTTTGTTAAGGGGAAATGGTTTGAAGATACACTGGGTGTTTGGGCTTTCATAACGGACAAAACAGGTCACAGCCAAAGAGCTTTCTTAACAACGAGGATGACATACGCCGAAGTTGTGAACATTGTGAGGGAGAAGTTCCAGTTAAGTGAAGATGAAAGGGTGGCTCTATCGTATCAATGATCATCGTACATGCTAATGATGACAGCAAAGATGCACCGCCGGTAGCTGTTCAGAAAGACGACGATGTAGCATGCTTCATGGAAATACGCTCTGAAATCGAGCAACTGAACTTATGTGTGACTGTGGACGAAGATATGACCGAATGTGTGCGTAAAAGAGCTATTGTGGAGTATCAAGATAACGGAAACGATGACTCTGAGAAAACGTCCGAAGATGATGGTAAGTCTGTCACTACAAGAGAAACACCCTTTTACAATGGCCGAAACTGTTGTAAAATCATTGTAAAACACCTATTAGGACGCACTTGCGACGGTTTCAAAACCATCGTAAATGCATCGTCGTAAAAGACATTTCGTCGTAAAATCGTCATAAAATCTAGGATAGTCTAAAACTGTCGTAAAGTCGTCGTATAATTTATGTCGTAAAAGCGTCGCAAAATTTGCAGCAAATTTACGATGAAAGTTATGGTTGTAAAATTACGTCGAATTTACTTCGATTTGCCTCGATTGGTTGTAAAATCGTCGTAAAAACCGACGTATGACCGTCGTAATTCTACGACGAAATAACCATCGTAATATCATCGTATTATTTTTTGTTTTATTCATCGTAAAATCATCGTATATTACGACGATATATGAAAATAATAATAAATATTATTACGACGATTATACGACGTTTTATTAAAATAGAATAAAAATTACTAAAATAAAATTGAAATTTTAATTAAAATAAAATAAAATTAATATTTAATTTAATTAAAATTCAAAATAATAAAACTTACATTAATTACAAAAAGATCTATCAAAAACCTAAATCTACACTAGTGTCGTCTATCTCCGCATCCTCGTGCTCCCCGTGTTGGCCCGCAGGTTGCTTGTCGGCAGCTCGGTTAAAGTTTCCCGACGCCTTGTCCCGATTCTAGGAGGATCAACCCTGAGATACTGGAACATCTCCTCGTCCGTCTGCACCGGGGGTTGCCTCCTCGAGGATGAAGAAGAAACGCCGAGGACTCCAGATGCCCGCATACTGTCCAACTGTGCCGCGATCAATGGGTTGTCGGTGCCCAAAATATCGAAGAGACTGTACAACTGGTCGATCTTCGTCTCGTATTGCGTCCGCATCTGCTGGAGCTCCTGCCGAATAATCATTGGATCCTCTGCCCAGGCATGACCAGTCGCAGAAGCGATTGGGGTATCATTGGATCCTTGAAAACATAAGTAAAACCCCTATATTTAAAGACGTTAAGTAGAAAAAAATAAATTAAAATTTATCTCTTCGAAGATCTTGTCCATCTCCGCCACCGTCAAGGTCGGGGTGGACTGGACCGAGCTACCTCCGGGAGACGTCGGAGGCACCTCGCACAGGCAGCGTTGTAAATCGCCTCCGCCCCAGGATTTGTGAATTCGCCGTTCTTCTTCTTGTGGGTTTCGGCGAAGACCTTCGTCATCAGAAGAAGTTCCTCCCCGTTTTCTTCAACCTACAAAATCAAATGGACAATGTTAATAAAAATACTTAAAATACTAAAAAAAAAAACTTGTTAATTAAGCTTACCATCATCAGACGTCTCCCGGCAAAAGGGACCTGATCGAAAGTGTGTGGGACGTTTTTTGGTTGTCCCGCTGATAACACCGTATTTTGACCACTTTTATGGATTGATTTTAAATGCTTTTCAAATAATTTTTATTTCTTTTAAGTGTTTTACTATTATTTTCTAGTATTTTTAGTTCCAAGACTCTTTTCAGGTAATTAAGGCAAAAGATGTGCATTTTGGAGCAAAAGATCATTTTGGATAAATTCGGGCCATCATAAGTTTTACATCCGATGAAGACCTTCTCACCATCAGATCATCCCCAAAATTGGACATAATATAACGGAGACAACTAGCTTTCAAAATCAATTTGTTTGGAGGCAATCCAATGGTTAGATCTCCGGATATCCTTAATGCACTGAAGACATGTTCTGCAGTCTCGCGCAGGAAGGAAGCACAAAATGAAGATTCAACCTCAAAGACCAATCCCCGCGGGTCCAGGAGCCACGACCGCGGGGAACACACTCTCGACCGCGGTTACGAGCCTCTGGCCACGGCCAAACCCCAATTCACCAAGGTCAGAAGCCTCGCGACCAGTGCCGACTAAAAGGCTGGCCCATGACCCCGTTTCAAACCCAATTCGTCTTTTCTTCATTGAAAACCCTAAGGAAGACTGTAGAGAGTTCAATACCTATAAATATGTGTCTAAGAAGACCTATTTTCGTGTGCCTCAGAAGAATCCCTTTTGGGAGCCACCAAATTTAGTTTTTTTTAGGGTTTTTATGTTTTTATGTTCTTAGTTCTTAGTTTAGGGAGATAGAGATTTCTCTTGAACCGTCTTTATGTCTTATCTTTATTTTAATTCGGTTTTTTACTTATATCCATCTTTCAATTTCGTTTTCATCTTCTTCATATTAGATTAGTTGTTTAAAGGATTTGAAGAGAAGTTTTCTCCGAGCTTAGATCTCGAAATCGAGATGCTTCTTCTTCTTCTCCTTGTCTGTTTTTCTCTACGTCCTTCTTCTTATTAATTTATGCACGTCTCTTCTATTTACTTTATGCACGTTTTGGAATGATGAGGTATGAGTTTAAAGGCTCGATCGAAGGGAATCGACTATGTTCGATAGGGATCTTCGCGAGATAAACCAAAGCCGAATTCTAAAAATTTTTCTTCTAAACTTATACTTAAAGCATGGATATAGCGTCGCGAACTAGAGACTGATCTAGGTCCTTGGTGTTGCGAAAGTATTCATCCGGGGCTGGATCTAGTTTGAGAAGAGCAGATCAACCATAGGAGTGGAAACCTACCTATGGGCGAGCTGTGAATGTTGACGAGTCTTAAGCATATTGTATCTTTTCCCTTCCAGGGTCAGAGTGGAAACCTACTGGTCAGGGTTGTGAGAAATAGTTGATTATGATCACGACAGTGGCGTATTCATACGTCCGTGACTCGAGTTCTAAGAATTTTCTAGGATCAATTTTAAGAGCTTTGTTCATCCTTTAGATTTATTATCGATTTATTCACTTCTAGTTTTCAAAACTCTTTTCAAAACCCTTTTTAAAAC